CATGTCATTCAATTCTAAGCACCAAAACTAAAAAATAGTTATGGTTTAAATTTCCATATAGGACAAACAGTAACAAGACTGTACCTGGAGGTGGATAGACAGCATATCCTGCAGGTTGCGGAGTTGGGTAGAATGCCTGCCCAGGGGCTCCATAATAGCCAGATTGAGCTGGGTACATATTGTTGTAGATGTTGCCTCCATTCATCATCACTGGCTGCCCAGGTGCCTGTGGTGGAGGGTGAGACCCAGGCCTACGGACTACAGAAACATTTACTTGTAGTTCAGTAAAATAAACATGCATTTTCATAAAAATTTTACACCCATAAAATATATATACTCTGCCTCGGTAAAGAAATTTTTCTAAAATTTTTATCAAGTAAGTTTTATCAAACTCATTGTTTGAGTGGTAGTTGACCACCAGTGAACAGGTTCTATTGAAACCCTGTGTAATTAATTAACTCACCACTAGCAACAGCAACTCTGAAGTGTTCAGCAAATTCTATAGCTCCACCACTATTGAAGGTTACTTTGAAAGTTCCTCTACCATGCCAACCACCTGAAAAGAAATAAGAAAAATTTCAGGACAAAATTGAGGTAGAACTTCAAGTATCTTCCATACTTTGAAGCTGGTAACTCAATTATCCACCAAAAAGAGCTTGTTTTACCCCAACACTTCCCTAAGTTTGACTGTTTAGCTGTTTTTTAGTATGATTTTGAACAGGTTACTCTTTACTTACCATCTGCCTCAGAAATTACATCCCCCTTCACAAAATTTGCACCAAACATGGGTTGCTTGACCTTAAAAGTATTTAACAGAGCATTAGTTGTTTGAGAGCTTCATTAAGCCTTCTGTAAAAATACATTTTTTATGTTTCCAGATAAGCACATACTGAAATGAGTAAATCTCAGAAAAGACAAAGAAGATTGAGCTAAAAAACTCAATGAGTACCTCTGTGTTGTCATGGAGATTGATGCTATCTAAAATATTTTAAAATTACCATGTTATGACTTTTTCATCATAAAATAACAAGAATAGTATCCAGAAAAGCTAACCTCCACATTTCGAATACTATGGAAATTCATTGAAAATGAACCATAATTGCATCCAGTTGTAGGGGCAAATATGATCTGAAAGATGATAACACTATGTAAATACAAACAGCAAAGGAAAGAGTTGATTTAAAAAGTACCAAAACCCAACAACAAAAACACCTCATCACCCCATGAGTGTAAAGTGTATTTCTTTCAATAAACTGAAAATGGTCAGAATTGAACTCTTGAACAGAGACTTTGTCTCATTAGCTGCGTGGAGGTAAATAGTTCCGAACTGGCCAATCAGCATACGCTAAAAGAACTATTCACATGTGTGATATATATTAACATCTAGTATTGATCGATATCGACTGAGATTGATTATCAATAACATCGACTGAATACCTTAATAACTTAGTGCAACGAGGTTTGCTAATTTTCAGGCTCTATTTAAACAAATAACAAATAATGAGTTCAACCAGTATGTAGATTATACTTAAGCCAGCAAGCTTACGACTACCCGCTTACAATCACCATTGCGAAACTTGACAGTACGTACATGTTTCAAACAGTTGCATTAATCAAAATCGGTTGCAACGTAAGTCCCCTATCATGGATAGCTGTGTATGTAAAATAAATCAAATATATGATCTTTTAGAACTTACTTTCTGAATGGTAATGAAGATATTTCCTTTCTTTGAGCCTTTCAAATAACCAGGGATTTCACCGCCTTCCAGAGCAAACTCGACGCCATCTTGATGGTATATCACACTGATAAAAGACAACGTATATTGTCCAAAATCCATCTCTACAACAGACTAGCGCCCAAGTTTAAATGTGATTAAGTTTACTTACTAGTCTCCATGAAGAGTAAGCCGCCCATTTGAGCAAACAACTTTGTTCATAGACATACTTCTCGCTATCGCTTTAAGAATTCGTCACAATTTTCGCCTTTGCTATATTTTTAAATGACGTCATTTTAGAGCTTGGTAGCCAAGTTTAAGCGTTAGTGCTGACCAAAAACATTATCGGCTCTAAGTTCGTTACTCGGCTATTCACCATTACGCAACCTCCGAAACAAATTCTTTGAATGAATGTTTAATTGCAGACATATTTTATAAGCAAAAATGACCTTGTTTTCCAAAACTGTAAGCTTCAATGATATGGTTCCTATTTTACCGGCATTGGATCTACCTGTTACACTCAAAATGTTATTCTCCCACAAGAACTTTGTGCACGCTCTTGCCGGCGCAGTGGTAAGTACATCATACACATGGCTAACTTGTGACAGCATATGTGTTTTCGTCCGCACTGAATGTAGACACACTTTTTGTGATTGTATGATAGGGCCCATTCGGTTTAAAAATGCTTGAATATTCTAAGGATGCGAAGAATGATGCGAATCACAGGTTATTTCGGTTACTTCCCAGATCAGGTGATGTCTGAGGACAAATATCCGCGTATATTTTCGCATGCAATAAAGGAAATTTTAATGTCGACCCTTTCATAGTTTTTTATTACCTTTAAGACGTGAACCATCGAGCAAGAATCCATCAACATTGTGCTACAGAGGTTCTCAAAAGGCAATTGGCAGCTTCAACCCCCC